CATTTACTCCTTCCCTTTCAGATGGTCAGTGTTCATTTGTTATTACAATTGGCTTTAACCAAGTGACACTTCCAAGTATTGGTAAGGTGACATCTGAGATAGGCTCAGAGAAGGCATGCTTAGCAAATCTGGGATGTTTGGTTTTTTTTTTTTTTTTTTTTTTTTTTCTTTGAGACAGGGTCTCGCTCTGTTGCACAGGCTGGAGTGCAGTGGTGTGATCTTGGCTCACTACAACCTCCACCTACCAGGTTCAAGCGATCCTCCTGCCTCAGCCTCCTGAGTAGCTGGGATTACAGGCGTCCAACACCACGCCCAGCTAAGTTTTGTATTTTTAGCAGAGATGGGATTTCCCATGTTGGCCAGGCTGGTCTCGAACTCCTGGCCTCCAGTGATTCACCCTCCTCAGCCTCCCAAAGTGCTGGGATTACAGGCGTGAGCCACTGTGCCTGGTAAATCTGGGATGTTTGGCTTTTGTTGCTGGGTGCAGGATTTATACCAACAAGGTATGAAAGTCTCAAAAGTGGAAAGAGAAGGAGGGTACCACCAGGAGGGAGACGCTCACAGGAAGCCCTGGACACAGACAGATGTATCCAGTGACAATCAGCCGTCGTGACTAGGTTGATGAATATGGAAATGTGTTCAGACCTCTGGTTGTCTTCCAAGTTACATTTCCACCAAGAATTCTGAGTGTGCAGTGCATGCCCTTCAGCTGCACAGATGGTACCCAGTTTGCCCTAATGTTTTCTTCCTCGCTCTATGGCCACTGTTCATAAGGAAGCCTTTATACTTCCTGTCCTGAGTGAGGAGAGTCACAGGTTCCCCTGCCTCTGTGATGTCATCATTTTCCTCCATGTCGTTGAGGAGACGAACCAAACTCCATAACTTAATAAAACATAAATGATACTACGTTATGTAAGTTACAAAAAATACAGGTTCAGGGTCTTTGTGAGTCTCACAGTTTAGAATTAGATGGAAATGGAAAATGGCATTAGGTAGTGCTGAACAGTGAGGGCATCTTGGCTTGTGATGAGGGTGGGGAAGCTGTCACATGAGGGAAGAGTTGTTACGCTGTGGCTATGAGCCCACAAGCAGAGAGGCCTGAGGAATTGAGGGGGAGGGGAAGAGGAAGGTGGTCAGAGACAGGTGAGAGAAGGTCTTAAAAAATCCTCAGATTCATGGCCTGGGCACAGTGGCTCACACCTGTAATCCCTCCATTTGGGGAGGCTGAGGTGGGTGGATCACTTGAGTTCAGGAGTTTGAGACCAGCCTGGCCAACATGATGAAACCCTGTCTCTACTAAAAATATAAAAATTAGGCTGGGCATGGTGGCTCATGCCTATAATCGCAGCCCTTTAGGAGGCCAAGGCGGCTGAATCACCTGAGGTCAGGAGTTTGAGAGCAGCCTGGCCAACGTGGCAAAACACTGTCTCTACTAAAAGTACAAAAATTAGCTGGGTGTGGTGGAGGGAGCCTATAATCCCAGCTACTCGGGAGGCTGAGGCAGGAGACTCACTTGAACGTGGGAAGCGGAGGTTGAGGTGAGCCAAGATCACACCATTGCACTTTAGCCTGGACGACAAGAGAGAAACTCCATCTCAAAAAAAAAAAATATATGTGTGTGTATATATATATATAAATTAGCTAGGCATGGTGGCATGCACCTATAGTCCCAGCTACTTGAGAGGTGTTGAGGCAGGAGAATTTCTTGAACCTGGGAGGTGGAGGTTGCAGTGAGCCGGGATTGCACCACTACACTCCAGCCTGGGTGATGGAGCAAGACTCTGTCTCAAAAAAACGAAAAAAAAAATCCTCAGGATTCTCATGGCGGCCGTCAGCCTGAGTGCCTTCTGTGGCCAACCCTTCTGACCTTGTGCTTGATTTTACAAATGCTCTGCTTCCTCCTTCCCTCCACCTTCCAGCCTCTGAATGATGTGTTTCAATCTCCTTTTTCTCACCCCACGCCCTCCCCTCGACAACAGGGTCGAGTTCCAGAACAAGTTCTATGTCGGGGATGGTTACAAGTTCTCTCCATTCTCCTTTAAACACATCCTGGATGGCACAGCTGAGGAGTAGGCTGAGGCCACACCTCCCGCAGCGGTCTCTGTGCCAATGAAAGTTCAGTCTTGTCTTTGATATCAGCCCGTGCATGGCGTTCAATGGAAAGATTGTTCTTGGCTCACCTGAAGCATGAAGCTGTGTATTATTTGGATATCAGCCTGTGGATTGGATATGACTTAATCATGTCAGAGAGGAATGACTTTGGCAAGTTATTTTGTCTTTGTATGGGGTATTAATTCTCAAATAATAAAGTAATTGAGAAATGAGGGGAGAATAGTAAGCAGATGTCTTCTTGCAATATTTTAAATATTATATTTGAGAAAATAAACATCTGAGTCATTCACTTTTTCCTTAAGATATCTTTATTCGGCCAGGCGCAGTGGCTGACGCCTCTAATCTCAGCACTTTGGGAGGCCAAGGTGGGTGGATCATCCAAGGTCAGGAGTTCGAGACCAGCCTGGCCAACATGGTGAAACCCTGTCTCTACTAAAAATACAAAAATTAGCTGGGTGTGACAGCAAGGGCCTGTAATCCCAGCTACTCCAGAGGCTGAGGCAGGAGAATACCTTCAACCCCTGGGGCAGAGGTTGCAGAGAGCTGAGATTGCACCACTTCACTCCAGCCTGGGTGACAGTGAGACTATGTCTCAAAAAAAGAAAAAGAAAAAATTATTCCATACCATTTAGTATCGACAATTATAGGCCAAAGCAGAACAACAGAGCTACACACACACTAATCCCAGAGAAGGATCATGCGAATTCCATTTCCTCATTTCCTCCTTCCTCAAACACCTTTTCCCTTGTCAAGGGCTAAGTATTACAGCTTAGAAACTTTCTCATGAATTTTCACTGAGGAAGAACAGATCATGTTCTCTGTGTGGAGGGAGGGCCTCCCCCCATGTCTCTCTGGATTGCGAAATCCTGTGAAATCAAGTGTGGTAACATGATATCATTTGTTTTCTGTCCATGCAGGTTATGCTGGAGATAGAGACTGGAAGGCAAGTTCAGAAATTGGTGTGCCGGGAGGGAGAGCGCGAGGCGGTCTGGCCTGTTACTCTCTGGCTCTGTGGGCCCCAAAGTCATTAGTCAATACTTAGGTACCTGCACTAGCAAACTCCTAAGAGCCCAATAAGATATAATAAGATATATATATATGTTTGCATATAGAGAGAGAAAGGTAGGATCTCACTCTTGCCCAGGCTGGAGTGAAGTGGTGTGATCACAGCTCGCTGCAGCCTCAACCTCCGAGACTCAAATGTTCCTTCCACCTCAGCCTCCTGAGTAACTGGGACTAAAGGTGCATACACCCTGCCCAGCTAATATTTTTTAGTGTTTTGTAGAGGTGCTGTGGGTAGGGGGGTTCTCGCTAAGTTGCTCAGGCTGGTCTTGAATTCCTGGGCTCAAGCAATCCTCCCACCTCAGCTTCTCAAAGTGCTTGGTTACAGGTGTGAGCACCTGGCCTCACTGACTAATGGGTCTGAATAACCTTTATCCACATAGATTATTATCTTTATGTGGTAACTTTATGGCAAAACTTTATCATACTTTTTATCAATATAGTTTAAATCAATAACTATATTGATAAAAAGTATAATTACCTTTTTGGTAGTGTTTTTACAATTTACAAAGTACTTAATAGTATTTAATTTTAAATTTTCTTTTCTTTTTTTTTTTTTGGAGACAGGGCCTCACTCTGTCTCTGGGCCAGGCTGGAGTGCAGTGGTGTGATCTCAGCTCACTGCAACCTCCGCCTCCGGGGTTCAAGCAATTCTCCAGCCTCAGCCTCCTGAGTAGCTGGGATTACAGGCAACCACCACCATGCCCAGCTAATTTTTGTACTTTTAGTAGAGATGGGGTTTCACCATGTTGGCCAGGCTTGTGTCTTGAAATCCTGTCCTCAAGTGATTCACCCACCTTGGCCTCCCAAAGTGCTGGGATTACAGGTGTGAGCCACCGTGCCCAGCCAGTTCTAAATTTTCACTGTTCATAAAGTTCCAAAAGAACTGATTAAATTCCAAATTATGCTTTGGATGAGACCCTGTTTTTGAAGTGCCCACGTGCCCTGTGTGCCATAGAGCTGTCTGGTGCTCATGGAAGCGGCATCGCTCAAACCTAAAAGGAAGCTTCCATGTCACCTTCCATGCCAGTGGCATGACTTGTCCAGCACAGTGGAAGGCACATATTAGATGCTCAGTAAGTAGTAACTTAACGAGGCTGAGCAACAGAATGATAGCTAAGGTCGGTGTACATGTTTGCGTTCCAACTTTGATGCTTTATCGTGGGTGCCCTCAGGAAAGAAAAGGAGTTGACCCCCTCTTTCCCAAGGGAAATAATGATCTCCGCCTCTCTGGATTCTCTGGAAGAACAGAATAAGACAGGATGCAGATGGTGGCATAAGAAATCCTCCAATCCCACGCTGCCATGGTCACTGGACAATTTTCAGGCTCTCAGCTCACTACTGTCCTTCTCAACAACTACCTAACAAGAACACTGTGCTTAAATGGATCACCAGCCTTTGACCCTTAATTCTTTTTTTTTTTTTTAACACCACCCTGAAGTTTTAAATTAGAATTAGGCCAGGCACAGTGGCTCATCCTTGTAATCCCAGCACTTTGGGAGGCTGAGGTGGGTTAATCACTTGAGGCCAGGATTTTGGGACCAGCCTGGCCCACATGGTGAAACCCATCTCTACTAAAATTATGAAAGTTAGCTGGGCATAGTGGTGCATGCCTGTAATTCCAGCTGCTCAGGAGGCTGAGGCTGGGGAATCCCTTGAACCTGGGAGACAGAGGTTGCAGTGAGCCAAGATCACGCCACTGCACTCCAGCCCGGGAGACAGAGTGAGATTCCTTCTCAAAATAAATAAATAAATAAATAAATTTAAAGTAAAAAATTAGAATTACCTAAAAGACATTGCACCTTTCAAGTGTATGACAGCATAGCAATGTTTAACAGTTGTTTTATTAAGTGAACGCTTGAAAATATTCAACAGTAAATTCAATTTACTTCACGGTAATGTCTGCAAACACATTATTATCAATTCTTAAATATTGCCAATCAAGCAACTGAAGTTCAGAAGGCTTGCTCTCAATAACTCCTTTCTGGTGACACAAAGACTGAAAGAAGCCTTTGACTTGAGTTGCAGTCTCTAACCCACAGTGACTGTTTCATCACTGGTGAACTCATATGAGGGAGGTTCAAGGTCAAGAGGTGCAGGCCCTTTCCAGATCCCGCCAGATGCATCTGTGTGATCCACAGCAAGGGCAATAATCTCCAGCAAAACCTTCATTCGCTGTGGGTGCATAAGAGGATGAATGCAAAGGCCGAGTAAAGAAACCCGAACGGGTTATCCTGATAGGCACTGCACTCATCCTTTACTTCTTTGTTCAATTAATTTATTTTTTTATTTTCTGAGACAGAGTCTTGCTCTGTCTCCCAGGCTGGAGTGCAATGGCGCAACCTTGGCTCAGTGCAACCTCTGCCTCCCGGGTTCAAGCGATTCTCCTGCCTCAGCCTCCTGAGTAGGTGGGATTATGAGCACATGCCACCATGTCCAGCTAATTTTTGTATTTTTAATAGAGATGGTGTTTCGCCATGTTGGCTAGGCTGGTCTCAAACTCCTGACCTCAAGTGATCCACCCACCTCGGCCTCCCAAAGTGCTGGGATTACAGGAATGAGCCACAGCGCCTGGCCCTTAAATCATGCTGTGGGCCCTCAACTGGGACTCTTCAACTGCAGCATCTCGGTCAGTTTCCTTTTTGGTTCTATGGCATACACATGGGTTTGCCTCTCCATCTGAAAGCCATGTTCTTGTCTTCTGGAATATCAGATAACTTGATTTTAATTTTCGACATGGCCAACTCATCAGCAGAAGCATTGATGCTGGAAATAAGCTGGGAGATGACATTCTTGGCAGCAGATGCGACACCCACAGCAGCTGTTGCAGTTACCAAACAGGAGAACCTTTTCTTAGCCTCGTCACCCTCTTTTGAAGACTTTGTCCCATCAAAAATCTCAGTGTAACGGTAGTCAGGGAAGTCAGGCACGTTGATGTCTGTGCAGGAATAATGAACAGAAGCAGGGACACTGAGGCCCACGGAGTTGACCCAAGACTGGCTCACACCTGGCCCTCAGTGACTCCTGGCACAGCAGAGGCGGCTGCATGTACAGCACAGGCAGCTCTAGGGTGGCGGGCACCATGGCCTATACCAGGGGCTATAGCACGCCTGCCACCCTGCAGGATGTGGCTGACAGGATGGGCATGAACCTGCCCCTTAATTCTAAACAATGGCTGTGAGCAAATGTTTGCAAGAGCAAAGCTTCCCTCTGCCCCTTACCTATACCTACTCTTTCAGAAATTCCTCCAGCTGTCCTGAGAACAACATAGTAATTTCCTCCAAGGTTCGGCAGCCTCTTTCAGTCTTAACGAGAAATGTGATTTCCCCTTTAAAAGGGGATCAGGTGCAGGCTGTTGAGAAGAGGGTGTGCCCTAGTTGTCATTCACTTGCCCAGAATGCAAAGTTGGCCCTTAAAGAATCCGGATCTGAGACCTGACCTGAAAGGAGAGGATAAGAGCAGGGGGCCGGGTGTCTTGGGATCGCAAGTCTGGACACCCCCAGAAGCCATCAGTGCTCCAGCTTCCACCTAAGACTTACCCACGGTGAGGGGAACAAAAGAGCCTGCAATTGGAAGGCCGTCCAAGGAGCATACAGAGGTGAGAAACTTACGGCAACGTAGATCTGGGCTGACTTTTCCTGCTGCTTAGAGGGTGGGGGTGGGAGCTGACAGTTTGTGGCTGAAGGCAAATAGAACATGAAAATTTCACTTGATATTGCAAAACAAATTCCATCACACACCACACACACACAATTCAGTTTAAAAAAGATCTACTGTGGCCTAATTATTTGAGCTTTAAAAAAATCAGTATAACAAAATACAATAGAATAAAATGTCAACCCATCCTTTAGAATTTGTTTTAATGAAGCTTGAACGCCATCTGAGCCTTGAGTTTCAGGGCAAATTCCCAATTTATCAGTTTCTTGCCAGGTTTTGTGAAGGTAGGTCATAGATTACTTTCCCTTTGTAGCTTTTTAGGAACTGATTGTTAGGGATGCAAAGCATTCTTTTCCACCTTATTTCCTATTTTCTTGAGTTGGTCTAACTGATCATCCATCTGCCATCCATCCTTCCATCCATCCATCCATCCATCCATCCATCCATCCTTCCATCCATCCCTCCATCCATCCTCTTACTGGGTTAGAAGGGATTTAGAATGACATAGGGAACCAAAGAACAGAGGATGTCAACTCAGCCTTTCCAGTGTTCCATTTCTGAGTTAAAATCTGAAGCTTGGCCAGGCACAGTGTCTCACACCTATAAGCCCAATACTTTAGGAAGCCGAGGCAGGCAGATCACTTGAGGTCAGGAGTTTGAGACCAGCCTGACCAACATGGAGAAACCCCATCTCTACTAAAAATACAAAATTAGCTGGGCGTGCTGGCACACGCCTGTGATCCCAGCTACTCGGGAGGCTGAGGCAGGAGAATTGCTTGAATCTGGGAGGCGGAGGTTGTGGTGAACCGAGATCGCGCCACTGTACTTCAGCCTGGGCAACAAGAGTGAAGCTCTGTCTCTCAATAATGTTCCTCATCTCCATCTCTCAAACTCTTTGTTCTCTTCTTCCTTTATGAAGCTTTTGGCTGAAACTCTAGAAACTACTAAGAAAATACATTTCGTACATATGCTAACTAACTTCAAGTGTGTGTTTGAGTGTCTTTTTAATGACTTGGAGAGTAAGCCCTTTATAAGGTACAGATGTGAATGCTACAATCCTGATTGTAGCATCCCCTGAGCCCTGCAACATGCTTTACCAAAGGAATCCTGTTGAAAATATATCCTGGCATGGCGTGGTGGCTCACGCCTATAATCCAGCACTTTGGGAGGCTGAGGTGGGCAGATCACCTGAGGTTGGGAGTTCCAGACCAGCCTGACCAACATGGAGAAACCCCGTCTCTATTAAAAATACAAAATTAGCCGGGCGTGGTGGCACATGCCTGTAATCCCAGCTATTCGGGAGGCTGAGGCAGGAGAATCGCTTGAACCTGGGAGGCAGAGGTTGTGGTGAGCCAAGATCACGCCAGTGCACTCCAAACCAGGCAACAAGAGAAAAACTCTGTCTCAAAAAAACAAGAACAATGAAAAAAGGAAATATATCCTATCCTGATGGGGCGGGAATGAAGACTTTCTTTGTTGCAGGTAAACTTACACGTTTGTTTCTTTCCTCTCTTGGTAAATTCTCCTGACCTTGGGAACCCACCCGGCCTTGACCATCTTCAAGGGCTGTGCATTGGGATGACTGGTGTCACAACTGACAGGCACTGAACGCTGTTCCATGGCGGGGCAAGGGCCAGGCCTACTCTGAGTGAGCCACACCTCATCGCCAGCCCTTTTCTTCACCCTCACCCCACCCCCTGCGTCGACAGTGCCTTTGGGAGGACTGAAGTTTGAAATCTTCTTCCTCCAAAATATATTGATTTTGTAATGTAAAACATAGGAGAATTCGGAGTGAAAAGTATCCATTTTGTTGTGCCTCTCATAAGTAAGATCAAGTGACTTTTGGAGAGGTTTTGAGGTCTTATTTTCCTGTAGGAAATTGGCACATTGAGATCACAATTTCCCAACACCACTCAAGTTCACCCGGGAAATAAAATCAACCTAATTTGGAAAACAATTAGGTTTTTTTGGGTAATTTTTCATTTGATCCCAGTGTGTTCTAATATTGGCAGAACATTAGCAATAAGTGCCTTTGGGAGACAAATATATTTGGTAACTCTGTAGATACTTTATTATGTTTTTTATTTTTTGAGATGGAGTTTTGCTCTTGTCACCCAGGCTAGAGTGCAATGGTGCGATCTCAGCTCACTGCAACCTTCATCTCCCAGGTTCAGGTGATTCCCCTGCCTCAGCCTCCTGAGTAGCTGGGACTACAGGCGCATGACGCCACACCCAGCTAATTTTTTTTATTTTTAGTGGAGAAGGGATTTCACCATGTTGGCCAGGCTGGTCTCAAACTCCTGACCTCAGGTGATCCCCACTCCTGGGCCTCCCAAAGTGCTGGGATTACAGGTGTGAGCCACGGCACCTGGCTTATAGATATTTTAAAATATTCCCTGAATAAATGATTTGTGATTATGGTGAAGTTGTAAAAAGTATTTGATTGCTTTGCTCAGAGACAAGAAACAATACTACCCGAAGGACTTTTGGTGCAATGGCGCATTGACACATTTTATAATCATCATCTTGTTTCATTGTCATCATACACTTAAGAGAAAGTTTATCAGTTGAGAATTGCACAAAACTGCAAGTAACAGAGACGAGAAATCACAGTGGCTTAGACCTAAGAGGTGTATTTCCTTCATTCGTTCATGGTGTCTGGAGGTGAGCAGTCCAAGGCTGCTGGAGATCTCCTGGTCGTCAGTTTCCAGGCTGTTTCTGTCTTATGCTGGCCAGATTTAGTCCCAAGTTTCCATCTTTCCATTTGCATTATGACCTGATATGCCAGCCGGAGGGCTGCCACCCAGCCTCTAGTCTAGTGAGGGGGTGTGAGGAAGAGGTGAGGGGCGGAAGAGGGATTTTCCTGAAGCCCTGACAACCTTCCCCTGCATCTCAATGGCCACTACCACCAGCGAAGTACAAGGGAAGCCCTGATGTCGGGTGGGCAGTAGCAATTTCTCCCACCAGCAGGTAGAATTTTTATTTCCAGATGAGGAAATGCAGACAGAGGAAATGGAGTAAGTTTCATCTCGACTTCACCATGACTACTGACTTTCTTCCTTCTCTCCCTCCCTCCCTTCCTTCCTTCTCGTTCCTCTTGTTCTCTTCATCTTCTACTTCTTTTTTTTTTTATAAAGATAGGATCTGCCTCTGTTGCCCAGGCTGGAGTGCAGTGGGTGGCATGATCACGGTTCACTGCAGCCCCCACCTGTCAGGCTCATTTCATTCTCCCACCTCAGCCTCACAAGGAGCTGGGCCACAGACCTGGGCCACCACACAGGGCTAACTTTATAAAGAACTTTTCTGTAGAGACCAGATCTCACTATATTGCCCAGACTGGCTATTAAAATCTTAATAGTTTTGTCATATAATTTATGCTTTATATCTGCTACAACATTTACTGGGTACCTGTATTTTTTTTTTTGGCAATTTTTGTCTTGTTCTTTTAATTTTTAAAAATTATGGTAAAATACACATAACTTCACATTTACCATTGTAACAATTTTCTATTGTTTATTATTATTATAATAGAGATGGGGTCTCGCTCTATTACCCAGGCTGGTCTCAAACTCCTGACCTCAAGCAATTCTCCCACCTTGGCATCCCAAAGTGCTGAGATCACAGGCATGCGCCACCACGCCCAGCCTGTTACAATTTTAAAGTGAACAATGCAGTGGCATGTAGCACCTTCACAATATTGTACATCCATCACCACCATCAGAGAGAGCCTGTTGTGCGAGGCTACCCTGTGGACTTCTGACCAGTCAATCATTTGATCTTCTCCAGGTCAAGTGCCTATCCCTGTCCAAATAAGTCATGGCCAGTGATGGAGAACAGGTGGGACATGTGATACAAAAACACAGGCCTTGGCTGGGCATGCTGGCTCACATCTCTAAGTCCCAGCACTTTGGGAGACTAAGGCAGGAAGATCGCCTGAGCCCAGGAGTTTAAGACCGGCCTAGTCAACATGGTGAGACTTGGCTGGGTGTGACGGCTCATGCCTGTAATCCCAGCATTTTAGGAGACTGAGGTGGGCAGATCACCAGGTCAGGAGTTCAAGACCAGCCTGGCCAACATGATGAAACCCCATCCCTACTAAAAATACAAAAATTAGCCAGGTGTGGTGGTGCGTGCCTATAGTCCCAGCTACTCAGTAGGCTGAGGCAGGAGAATCACCTGAACCTAAGAGGCGGAGGTTGCAGTGAGCTGAGATCACATCACTGCACTCCAGTCTGGGTGACAGAGTGAGACGCTGTTGTAAAACAAATAGACAAACAAACAATAAATTAAATAAAAGTGAAAATGAAATAACAAATGTGAATCTGCCTTTACAGGATCCGGCTTAATTCAAGAGCAACTGTGAAGCAAATATTTTGGACGGTTAACAACTTTGGCCAGGCTCTATGTGATAAATCACCTCTCTTTATTGATAAGAGAAAGGAAATATATAGGATGTTTATGAGCCATGGAGCCACCAAAGTGGTTTAAAACACATGCTTATACCACATTAAAATTTGTTCTGGGCCTGGTGTAGTGGCTCATGCCTATGAGCACTTTGGAAGACCGAGATGGAAGGATTGCTTGATCTCAGGAAGTCAAGACCAGCCTGGGCAACATAGTGAGACCCCTGTCTCTATTTTTGAAAAAATTTTTTAAAAGGGCTAAGTGTGGTGGCTCATACCTATAATCCCAGGGAGGCTGAAGTGGGTGAATCACTTGAGGTTAGGAGTTCAAGACCAACCTAGCCAATATGATAAAACCCTGTCTCTACTAAAAATACAAAAATTGGCCAGGTGTGGTGGTGCACTCCTGTAATCCCAGCTACTTGGGAGGCTGAGACAGGAGAATCGCTGGAACATGGGAGGTAGAGGTTGCAGTGAGCCAAGATCACACCATTGCACTCCAGCCTGGCTGATAGAGTGAGACTCTGTCTCAAAAATAAAATAAAATAAAAATAAACGCAAACTTGTTCTGGTCGGTAGTAAGTGGAAGATTTCCAGGTTTCTTGC